AGCTTTGAAGTGGTACCAAGGACACCTTAGTGGCATCTGACACACCAGATGACCTCTGACCACGTGTGGCTCTGGTGATGGTTCAGCTGTTAGAAAGCGAGAGCCTGGTCCTGAGATTTCTCCCTTTGTTGCGCGTTGGTAACAGTGGGTTGACCTGTCCTGTCGTTGCTGGGCGCTCCAGGATTCCTGCAGATGCATGCAGCAACAGCTGGGGCCCACAAGGGACGGTAATCTGGCGTAATTATTAGCCCTTTGAAGTGGAGATGCTAGGATGCTGATTTTTCTGCTGTTTCTGGCTGCCCTTGCCTTGTTGTGGGTAGTGGTTAGGTTTTTACTTCCTGAAGATAAAGCTTGCTGTGCTTCTAGGTCATGAGAATTGGGACCTCTTCTGTGGCAAGTAATTTTGAGACTGAACTTGGCCACTGTCACTGGCCGACCAGTGTGTTTTGAATGTTGTAACTACCTGCGAGGAAACCTTTTAAAATTGGGTGCTCACTTCCATGTTGTGTAACTGATTGCATTTCAGACAAATACTTCAATAGTTTATGTTGAACATATTCAAACAGAATTGCAAAAACCATATTGTGCACAATCATGTTCTCATGGGTACGTCGTCCTTTTACTGTAGAGGCTCATGGCAGGCTGCCCCAGGATGGGCCACTTTTGCCTAGAGATTATATTATATCGGAGTTAAAAGTAATCAAAACCCAGCAGATGCGGGAAAAGGCCCTCTGCCTCCCCCTCAACTGCTTTAATTTACATAGGAAAGGAGAGCCTGCACCAGGAAGAGCTCTATTAACAGAGACTCCTCTTTACCTAAGGAAACGCAGCACAACCTTGTGTTCCCAAACCTCTCTCCTTGCTGAGGGTCTTCCTCCCATTCCTGTCCTCAGACCCCCCTCTCCTGAGCGCCTAAAAGCTTCCTGTTGCCTGCCTGCCTGTGAATTTCCTGTCCGTGCCTGTTACCTTCAGTTTTCTCCCATCCACGTGTCTGTGGCTGAGGCCCCCTGGAAGGGCCACAGAACAGAGGAGGAGGTCTTCCTCCCAAGCAGCATTCTCTTTCTTCTGTGTCTGTCACAGCTAATTACCAGAAAATAGACACCATAGAGTTTTCTCTCCTTAATTTGTAATTTAAAAAAATTCTGGGACTCTATTTGAGAAAAGTACGTATTTTGATGTTCTTAAATGGTAAGTCTTGTTCAAGTCTGTTCTGAGTTCTTAACCTTCCAATCTCTAGAACTGTTATTGCTGTATTTGAGGTTCTACATCCTTTTCTAAATTTCTCCTTCACCAGGTGATCAAATTGATACACGATATTTCACCAAAATATATCCTGATTTCCTTCATGAGATCTTTGACCCAAGGGCTTTCTGAAAATGAGTTTGGTGTCCAGTTGTTCGTTTCTGGTTTTGTGATACTGTTTTCCTTTTTTAAAGATTTTATTTATTCATTTGACAGCGAGAGAGGGAACACAAGCAGGGGGAGTGGGAGAGGGAGAAGCAGGCTTCCCGCTGAGCAGGGAGCCGGATGTGGCGCTCGATCCCAAGATGCTGGGATCATGACTGAGCCGAAGGCAGACGCTTAAGGACTGAGCCACTCAGGCACCCCAGAACATGGATTTTCTAATTGTGCGCTGCAGGGCCCTATTTTATGTCAGCTACAAGAGTTTTGTTAAATGACATGACTGGATGTGTCTTTTTTTTTTAATATTTATTTATTTGACAGAGACAGCAAGAGAGGGAGGGAACACAAGCAGAGGGAGTGGGAGAGGGAGAAGCAGGCTTCCCACTGAGCAGGGAGCCCAGGACTCTGGGATCATGACCTGAGCCAAAGGCAGATGCTTAACGACTGAGCCACAGGCAGACGCTTAACGACTGAGCCACGCAGGCGCCCCTGGATGTGCCTGTTTGTTTGTTTGTTTGTTTGTACTTGGGGCACCTGACTGACTCCGTCAGCTGAGCATACAGCTCTTGATCTCTCGGGGTCGTGAGTTTGAGTCTCACGTTGGGGGTAGAGTTTACCTAAAAGAGACTTTTATTGGGGTTCCTGCGTGGCTCAGTGGGTTAAGCATCTGACCCTTGACTTTGGCTCAGGTTGTGATCCTCAGGGTCATGGTGTGGAGCCTGCTTGGGATTCTGCCTCTGCCCTTGCCCCCTACTCTCCAATAAAAAATAAAGTTTTATTTATAAAAACAACATGTAAATAATTTATAATATCTATAAAAACTTTTAAAAGTTTTTATTTAGGGGCACCTGGGTGGCTCAGTTGTTAAGCGTCTGCCTTTGGCTCAGGTCATGATTCTAGGGTTCTGGGATCGAGTCCCGCATCAGGCTCCCTGCTCAGCAGGGAGTCTGCCTTTCCCTTTCCCCCTGCTCGTATTCTCTCTTTCTCAGTCTCTCTCAAATAAATAAATAAAATGTTTAGAAAAAAGTATTTATAAAACTTCTTTTATAAAAGACTTAGTTGAGAGAGACAGCATGGGCAGGGGGAGGGGCAGAGGGAGAAGCAGGCTCCCTGCTGAACAGGGAGCCCCAGGGAACCCGAATCTAGGCTTGATGCCAGGACTCCTGGATCATGACCTCAGCCGAAGGCAGACACTTCACCAACTGAGCCACCAAAGCTCAGTCCCAAATGCTTTTTTAATATGTTCCCTTTCAAGTTCTTTGTTTCAGATTCTTGGAGGTGTTCTCACTCCTCCTCATGCTTTCCTCGTCTCTAGTTTGTCAGCTCCTGTTGAGCAGGGGTTGTGTTTTCTGCTGGAATCTGTGTGACTTAGCTTGTAGAGATACTTAGTGCTCAGGTGTACCTGTATTTGCCTCACCATCCCGGGGTCGTATTTGGTAGTTCTGCAGAGCGTGGAGCATCGCAGGATAATGGAGGTAATAAGATTTCGTTCTGTACCTCTGACCAAGCCCTCAGGCTTCAGGTGCCCAGGGGGCTTCTTTCTCTGCAGCGGGTTGGAGAGAAACCTCTCTCCTCCCCCTTTCTTGTAATTACAGCCCTTGGGGAGCCACAGTACAAGGGGGGCGTGTGTGTGTGTTTGTCTGTCTGTCTGTCTTCAGTGCGGCCACTCTTTCCTGTGCTTCAAAAGCAAGTCCTGTCCTGAGAACATAGGACCGAACGCCCCCCCCCCCCCCCCCGGCCCCATTCTCAGGATTACCACTTCTGGTGTAAACTCCTGGTTGTGTCTGGCACTTGAGCCTCTTTCTGGCAGCTCAGCTTCTTCAAATGTATTTGTTGGACTTCAACATTTCTAGGTATTTCAAGGTGGGGGGGGATCTATTTTACATCATCCTTTGGTTTTTTTTTTTTTTTTTTTTTTTAAGGATTTTATTTATTTGACAGAGACACAGCGAGAGAGAGGGAACACAAGCAGGGGGAGTGGGAGAGGGAGAAGCAGGCTTCCCGCGGAGCAGGGAGCCCGATGCGGGGCTCGATCCCAGGACCCTGGGATCATGACCTGAGCTGAAGGCAGACGCTTAACGACTGAGCCACCCAGGCGCCCCAATCCTGTGATATTTTTGAATTATTCCTTGTGTCGAGCTCCTGTACTAGTAACGAGTAGATTTCATCTGCTTCCTCTGACCCTTTATTTATTATTATTACTTTTTAGATTATTTGAGAGAGCGAGCATGAGCAGGAAGCGGATGCAGGGCTCAATCCTATGACCCTGAAATCATGACCTGAGCCCCTTGAGATGACCTGAGCTGAAACCGAAAGTTCGCTGCCCAACTGACTGAGTCACCCAGGCACCCCCTTTTGACCCTTTAAATGCAGAGTTTCTCTGTAAATGCTTGGCTGGTACATTTCAGTTTGGAGTCATGACGTAATACTAGATTTTTTTTTTTTTTAAACCGTGGGTTGGTCCCCCAACGTTGGCAACGACTGTGTGTGCATCTTGTTTTGAGCAGTGGAAAAATTGCTAGTTGTGGCATTATTTAACCTAGACCGCGTTCAGCCTCGGCACGGTGGCCTCAGGAAGACTATGATTACATGTCCTCACTCAGAGTCAGAGTGTCTCTGAGGTCTGATAGTTGAGTTTCCGGGGATGCCGTGGGAAGCCCAGCTTCAGGTGTGGGCAGAGCAGTCTGACCGAAGGCTCTGTTCTCCTGGTGAAATTCATGCGTCCTGTCAGAGGCTAGGCCTGTTCTTCGTAAGTTTTTGATCACTCGTTGAATGAGGTGTTTTACTCAAAGAAGTGAATTCATTAGATTTCACTTGAAGAGGCAGCATACATGTACCTGGTTGTGGGACCCAAGGCCCTTCCTGTTAGAGGTGGCAGAAGCAGAACGGATTCTCCTTGTCCTGCCCTAGGCAGTGACATGGGTAAGTGTGAGGCAAATCTCTGCTGCTAGTTTTCCACTGAAGGCGAGATCTGTGGGGACATTCTCTCATTAATATCGACAGCAGGGCAGTGATGTGTTTGTTTTGTGGATGGATGGGAGTTTGAAGCCAGAGGGTAAAGGTACTCTGATAGCTGTGTTGTCAAAGACATTTCCTTTTTCTTTCTCAGGACTTTGGGGGGGGGTGGAGGTGCGCATCAGCTCGTCCCCAGTCTTTGTGTGGTTCCCATGTTACAGGGACAGTGTGTTCATCCTGGTGGCTGTGCAGTCTTGCCCAATGCCTGGCACAGGAATGCACTGAATGAAGGAGGTAACCAAAGCTCCCTGAGCACGGCCCCTGTCAGGAAAACAACATACTCACAAAGGGCCTGTCAGCTGGTGGTCAAGTGGGCCCTGAGTGTCTGCCTCAGAGTCACCTGTTAGTTTTATTTAGTTAAGGCAGCTATTATTAGGCTATTTCAGAGTTTTTTATTCTATATCAAGAAGGGTCTTAGGGCACAAGTCTTGGAATCTGTTCCCAGACAAGGGTCCAGCCTGACAGGCTAGTGGTTAGTGTGCAGGTGAGGTGACATTCCCTTCCCTCTCTGCTGTGTTCCTCCCCCACGATGAACCTAACCTTGGCAGTCCTGTCATTGACCGTGGATTTTCTAATTGCAGGACTCACTCCAACAGCCTGTTAAAAGATGGTGGATTACTATGAAGTTCTAGGCGTGCAGAGACATGCCTCAGCCGAGGATATTAAAAAGGCGTAAGTAATTGTATTTATGAAATAATCTGTGCAGTTGTGCACTGGTCCTTGGGTATTGTTACTTTTTATCTATTGAAATGGGCCATGTAATATAACACTCTTTGAATACTGCTGTTTAATTTTATCTTCGGACAGAATAGTTAGCAGATTAACTCTTGCCTTCTCAGACCTAGGCCCAGCCTGTCCCTTGTCACTGAGGAATAAGAAGGTCACTTGGTTTCCTCTGTTACTTTGCCTTGGGACAGTGGATTCTGCTGGCTGCTTAAAGTAGATCAAACACTGAGGATGTGAAATAATCGCAGAGAACTGACGTTGGGCTTTGGAATGGAATTGACTTGGCACTCAGCACTCAGGGTGTGGTGCTGTAACCTCCTTGGTGTTAGCGGCTTTAAAAAACCCTTGTCGGGAGTCTGGGTGGCTCAGTCGGTTAAGCGACTGCCTTCGGCTCAGGTCATGATCCTGGAGTCCCGGGATCGAGTCCCGCATCGGGCTCCCTGCT